ACGGGGAGAAAGAGACACACAAACACATGGGGAGAGAGAGAGACACACACACGGGGAGAGATACACACACACAGAAGCAGCACAGTAAGGGAGGGTTAGAAGCAGCAGGTAGCGAGTGGTGGACCCGCAAGCAACAGACACGACTCTTGCCATGCGCGGCGACACCATACGACCCAATTCAATCCCCCCCCTTGCACGCAACCCCCGGCACGTACCATGCTCCGTCTGCCGCGCCGCTTTGCCACTCGGCCGCTCTGCCTTCTACACCACGCCTGTGTGCTGCTCCAGGCTGCTCCGTTGCTGCTGTGCCAAGCCTTTGCCCCAAGCAGCGCTCTGCCGCTGCCCATGCTCCCAGTTGCTCCGTTGCTGCTGCTGCTACATACCAGTCGCTGCTGCCGTCGCAACCACCGGTCGCTGCAGAGAGGAGGAGAGGACAGGAGAGAGCTTAGGGAGCTGAGAAGTGTGGCATGATCATCTGATAGCACCGCTGCAAAGACTCGTGGCACCGTGGCAAAATGGTAGACAACGTGCAAGGGAGAACAGAACTTGGAAAGCAGGAAGATGGTGAAAAGTGAAGCAGTGAACTGCTTGACCTGATTCCCTTGTCACAACCTCTTGTGTGCTCGCCATCATCCTGCAGTCGCTGCAGCCACTGGTGATCCCCGCCCACTCGCTGCCTCCTCCGTCCGTCTCGCAGCACATGAGGCACGAACACACATGGGGAAAAACAAACACACACAGAAGCGGCAGGGAGGGTTAGGAGCAGCAGGAGAGGAGGCGAGTGGCAAAGACAAGGACAAGAGACACAACTCTTGCCTCTGCGCGGCGACGCCCTACGACTCACTTCACGGCCCCCCTGCAAGCACCCCCTGGCACGTACCCCCATGACCCAAGCAGCACCCTGCTGCGGTCCGTTCTCCAAACTTCAGGCGTGCTGCTCCAGGTTGCTCCCCTTTCTCCCTTATCTCCTCGCAGGACGGTCGACTCTCGTGCAAGCCAGCAACGGCAGTGGTGTCGATTCCTCGTCCACTCGCCGCCATTCCCGTCCGCCTTGCAGGCCATGAGGCAAACACACGCACGCACGCATGGGGAGAGGGACACGCACACACACACAGGCGGTGCAACAAGTGATGGTCGGAAGCAGCAGGTGGCGAGTGACAGAAGCAAGGACAACAGACACGACTCTTGCCTCTGCGCGGCGACACCCTACGACTCAATTCACGCCCCCTGCAAGCACCCCCTGGCACGTACCACGCTCTGTCCGCCGCTCTCCCACTCCTCCGCTCAACCACTTCACACGTGCTGCTCTGGGCCAGCACGTCTCTCAAGCGAGGCCGCAACGGATGTCCACTCCATGCCACTCCCCTCCACCTCGGAGGCCGTGAGGCACACAAACGTACGGGGAGAAAACGCACGCACACAGAAGCGGAGCAATAGGAAGGGTTAGGAGCAGCACAAGAGGAGGCGAGCCCGGAGGCAAGGGCAAGAGACACGACTGTTGCCTCTGCGCGGCGACTCACTACACTCCCCCCCTGCAAGCGTTGCCTGACACGTACCATGTTCCGTTCGCCGCTCTGCGCCCGCTTTCGCTTCTCCTCCCTGGGAAGGTCGTCCCTCGTGTGCGCCAGGCCAGCCACGGCAGCCCGCCCATTCAACGCCCACTCGCCGCCACCGTTTGTCTCGCAGGGCGTGACGCACACACACGCATGGGGAGAGAGGCAAATAGGGAGGGTTAGAATTGATGCAAGAGACGAGTGGCGGAGGCAAGGGCAAGAGACATGACTCTTGCCTCTGCGCGGCGACGCTCTAGGACTCTCTACACTGCCCCCCCCGCAAGCACCCCATGGCACATACCATGGTCCATTCGTCGCCCTGCCGCGTGCTGCTCCTGGTTGCCTCTCGTGCGAGCCAGCAACAGCAGCCTGTGTGTTCCCCGTCCGCTCCATTCCATTGCCGTCCGTCTCGCAGGCCATACGCCACACACACGCATGGGGAGAGGGACACGCACACAGAAGCAGAGCAGCAAGGGAGGGTTAGTAGCAGCCGGAGGGGAGGCAAGTGGCGGAGGCAAGGGCAGAAGTCACGACTCTTGCCTCTGCGCGGCGACGACCTAGGACTCACTTCAGCGCCCCCCTGCAAGATATCCCCTGGCACGTACCACGCGACCGTCACCGTGTCTCTGCCTTTGCTGCCCCTTCTCCTCGCTTCAGGGTTGTCTCTCGAGCGAGCCAGCAACGGACGCCCTCTCTCCATGCCATTTCGCGCCATTCCGCGTCCACTCCGCGCCATTCCGCGCGTCCGTTCCGCGTCTACGCTGTGCCATTCCCCTCTACCTCGAAGACCGTGAGGCACACACATCAATGGGGAGAGAGAGAGCCACACAAAAGCAGCAAAACAGAAGGGAGGGTTAGAAACAGCAGGAAGCGAGCGGTGGAGCAGCAAGCAACAGACACGACTCTTGCCTCTGCGCGGCGACGCCCTACGACGCACACAGAAGCAACGGAACAAGGGAGGATTAGAAACAGCAGGAGACGAATGACGGAGGCGAAACCAACGGACATGACTCTTGCCTCTGCGCGGCGACGCCCTACGACTCACTTCACGGCCCCCCTGCTAGCACCTCCTGACACGTACCACGCTCCGTTCGCCGCTCGCCGTGCCTTCACTCGAGGCGTGCTGCTCCAGGCCGCTCGGTTGCTGCTGCGGCTGCAGTCGTTGCTCTCGTCGCGATCGCCACCGCGTCTCTGCCTTGGTCAAGACCCAGAGACAAGAAGAATCAGACTGAGACGCTGTGGTAGCGTCTCAGTCTGGTTACGGTATGAACGGGGAGGCGATTAAGGCACGAAGAATCAGACTGAGACGCTGGCTGACGGCGCTTACCCCCTAAGTTCTACTCGCCCCCAATGAAAGCTCTTCCTATTGCACTTACAAGGTCTTTCCCCGTCTGCAATCTTCGTGCGACGGCGGAAACAGCAGCAACGGAGCTATAACGGCGGGAACTGCAGCTCCGTCGCTTTGATGGCAGAAACGGCAGTAGCATTGCTATTGTCGTAACGGTGCTGTTTCGATGGCGGGAGCAGCAGCGACATCGCTTTAACCACGAAAATCGCTGCGCCGTTTCCTTGGAGGCGAAAACGGAATAACGTTGTTATGTCGGCGGAAACAGCAGCGACGTCTTTGGAGCCGGAAAAGACGGAAGCGGCAGTAAATTCGTGTCTAGAGCGGAAGCAGCAGCGATGTCGTCTTCACCGGGGAAATTGCAGCAACGTCGCATTGACGACGAAAGCAATAGCGCTGTTGCTTCGACGGCGAGAACGTCAGCAATGTTTCTTGGATGCCGGGGAAAGGCTGCGAAGCTGTATTGACGGAAGCGCCAACAGCGACTTTGCTTTGTCGGCGGAAGCAGAAGGTAGTCTTCGACGAGTAAAGAAGCAAAGAGGTTGCTTTTATGGCGGAGCGAGCAGCTAAGCCTTGACGGCTACAACAGCGAGGATGTTGCTTTTCTGACGAAATAGCGACCACCTCGAGCAGAGACGTTGCATTCACGGCGAAGCACAGCAATGTTGCTATGACGGTGGAATCGGCAGCGGCGTTGCTTTAGCGGAGTGATGTCGCTTGACGGCTTGCTATCCGTCTCAGCTGAAACGCCTTCCCGCTGTTCGTCTCAACTGGAGCGCTGTCTGAACTAACATCTTAACGTCGTGTCCGCCTTAACTTGAGAACATATACATCGTTACTGACATTGGTACCTTCTGAACTTGAAACTCTAAGCCGTCACAACTTGACAACGTCCTAACTACGTTCGGCGGCTAAGATTGACCTGACCCATATGGTTATCGATCGCCAGATAGAGTCGCGTCGCGGCTGATAGAATTTGTCTGATTATAACTAGTGCCAACATGCGAGTAATCTAGGAGGCTAGTGCGACAGCAGCTCACATTGCTGGACATGGAGCTCAGAGTGGAGATAAGAAAACGGCAGGCTGGTAAAGGAAGTGGAGCAAAGCATAGTGGAGCTTAGGAAGGGAAGAAAGGAGGTGGGGTGGAGAAACCTTGGAAATGGCTTCGCCTGTCAATAAGGGAAACGAAGGCGGCTGACTCTCGCCAACGAAACCGAAGCCATGCAAAACATGGGCAAGCAGGAGGTGAGGTTCGGATCATCAGACAAAAGTGGGGATTGGCTGGCTGAAGCGGTAGCAGGATCAGAATGTCAGCGAATTTGAAAAAATCGGCAGGAATCCGAAGCCTCGGTTCGAGAGCGACAGGTTCGGATGGAAGAAGTTGGGAGAATGAAGTGGTCTGGACAGATTCGGCCGGAGAGAAAAGAGATACACGTTTGAGAGCTCTCCGAAATACAGTACAGTAGTCTTTCCACAACAAGTTGATTGAGAGGAGGATGATTTTTTTAGAAAGCAGTGAGGTTTGGAGCTGCCGAGGACTTCGCCCCACCAGGCCTTGTTTACACGTCTACCCAGTGAAACTTACCAATGTGCAAAAGTAGTGCAATCTGGAGAGAGAGATGAGGAAATGTCCAGCTAAACTCCTTGTGAACATTGCAATGTTTGTGGTGGCGTTCCTGTCTGAAAATTGCTTGCTTGCTGCTGTGCACCTGCTTGCCAAGCCTGGTTGCTGGTCCTGTATGAGTATGTCTACCTTACACACCACGAGCTGTAGGCAGCTGCAAATGCAGTCGGGGGCCATCACGGCGTGTGTATTTCGCATCCAGAACTCAGAAAGACCCAGTGCCAGTGCACAGATGACATGCTGAAGCTTGAAGTCAAGATGCAAGGATCTGGGAAGGGATGTTTGGCTGGGCTGTTGATTGCCTGGATGGCTAATAAGCTGGTTGGCTGATTGGCTGCTTGGCCAGTTAACTGGTTGGCTACTTAGCTGCTCTGCTGCATGGCTGCTTATCTGATTGGCTGGCTGTCTGGTGGCACCGGCATCTGACCATTCCTGTACTGCACTTCCCGTGCAAACCAGTCGCAAGCCTGCTTCCTGTCAGTCCCTACCATCCGCCTGCTCTTTTTCTATGCAGGGCGTGTTCCAGAGCTCCAGAACCAGAGCTCCAGAACCAGAGCTCCAGAACCTGAGCTCCAGAACCTGAGCTCCAGAACCTGAGCTCCAGAACCTGAGCTCCAGAACCTGAGCTCCAGAACTTGGGCTCCAGAACCTGGCCTCCAGAACCTGAGCTCCAGAACCTGAGCTCCAGAACCTGAGCTCCAGAACCTGAGCTCCAGAACCTGAGCTCCAGAACCTGAGCTCCAGAACCTGAGCTCCAGAACCTGAGCTCCAGAACCTGAGCTCCAGAACCTGAGCTCCAGAACCTGAGCTCCACAACCTGGGCTCCAGAACCTGGGCTCCAGAACCTGGGCTCCAGAACCTGGGCTCCAGAACCTGGGCTCCAGAACCAGAGCTCCAGAACCAGAGCTCCAGAACCAGAGCTCCAGAACCCGAGCTCCAGAACCCGAGCTCCAGAACCCGAGCTCCAGAACCCGAGCTCCAGAACCCGAGCTCCAGAACCCGAGCTCCAGAACCCGAGCTCCAGAACCCGAGCTCCAGAACCCGAGCTCCAGAACCCGAGCTCCAGAACCCGAGCTCCAGAACCCGAGCTCCAGAACCCGAGCTCCAGAACCCGAGCTCCAGAACCCGAGCTCCAGAACCCGAGCTCCAGAACCCGAGCTCCAGAACCCGAGCTCCAGAACCCGAGCTCAAGAACCCGAGCTCCAGAACCCGAGCTCCAGAACCCGAGCTCCAGAACCCGAGCTCCAGAACCCGAGCTCCAGAACCCGAGCTCCAGAACCCGAGCTCCAGAACCCGAGCTCCAGAACCCGAGCTCCAGAACCCGAGCTCCAGAACCCGAGCTCCAGAACCCGAGCTCCAGAACCCGAGCTCCAGAACCCGAGCTCCAGAACCCGAGCTCCAGAACCCGAGCTCCAGAACCCGAGCTCCAGAACCCGAGCTCCAGAACCCGAGCTCCAGAACCCGAGCTCCAGAACCCGAGCTCCAGAACCCGAGCTCCAGAACCCGAGCTCCAGAACCCGAGCTCCAGAACCCGAGCTCCAGAACCCGAGCTCCAGAACCCGAGCTCCAGAACCCGAGCTCCAGAACCCGAGCTCCAGAACCCGAGCTCCAGAACCCGAGCTCCAGAACCCGAGCTCCAGAACCCGAGCTCCAGAACCCGAGCTCCAGAACCCGAGCTCCAGAACCCGAGCTCCAGAACCCGAGCTCCAGAACCCGAGCTCCAGAACCCGAGCTCCAGAACCCGAGCTCCAGAACCCGAGCTCCAGAACCCGAGCTCCAGAACCCGAGCTCCAGAACCCGAGCTCCAGAACCCGAGCTCCAGAACCCGAGCTCCAGAACCCGAGCTCCAGAACCCGAGCTCCAGAACCCGAGCTCCAGAACCCGAGCTCCAGAACCCGAGCTCCAGAACCCGAGCTCCAGAACCCGAGCTCCAGAACCCGAGCTCCAGAACCCGAGCTCCAGAACCCGAGCTCCAGAACCCGAGCTCCAGAACCCGAGCTCCAGAACCCGAGCTCCAGAACCCGAGCTCCAGAACCCGAGCTCCAGAACCCGAGCTCCAGAACCCGAGCTCCAGAACCCGAGCTCCAGAACCCGAGCTCCAGAACCCGAGCTCCAGAACCCGAGCTCCAGAACCCGAGCTCCAGAACCCGAGCTCCAGAACCCGAGCTCCAGAACCCGAGCTCCAGAACCCGAGCTCCAGAACCCGAGCTCCAGAACCCGAGCTCCAGAACCCGAGCTCCAGAACCCGAGCTCCAGAACCCGAGCTCCAGAACCCGAGCTCCAGAACCCGAGCTCCAGAACCCGAGCTCCAGAACCCGAGCTCCAGAACCCGAGCTCCAGAACCCGAGCTCCAGAACCCGAGCTCCAGAACCCGAGCTCCAGAACCCGAGCTCCAGAACCCGAGCTCCAGAACCCGAGCTCCAGAACCCGAGCTCCAGAACCCGAGCTCCAGAACCCGAGCTCCAGAACCCGAGCTCCAGAACCCGAGCTCCAGAACCAGAGCTCCAGAACCCGAGCTCCAGAACCCGAGCTCCAGAACCCGAGCTCCAGAACCCGAGCTCCAGAACCCGAGCTCCAGAACCCGAGCTCCAGAACCCGAGCTCCAGAACCCGAGCTCCAGAACCCGAGCTCCAGAACCCGAGCTCCAGAACCCGAGCTCCAGAACCCGAGCTCCAGAACCCGAGCTCCAGAACCCGAGCTCCAGAACCCGAGCTCCAGAACCCGAGCTCCAGAACCCGAGCTCCAGAACCCGAGCTCCAGAACCCGAGCTCCAGAACCCGAGCTCCAGAACCCGAGCTCCAGAACCCGAGCTCCAGAACCCGAGCTCCAGAACCCGAGCTCCAGAACCCGAGCTCCAGAACCCGAGCTCCAGAACCCGAGCTCCAGAACCCGAGCTCCAGAACCCGAGCTCCAGAACCCGAGCTCCAGAACCCGAGCTCCAGAACCCGAGCTCCAGAACCCGAGCTCCAGAACCCGAGCTCCAGAACCCGAGCTCCAGAACCCGAGCTCCAGAACCCGAGCTCCAGAACCCGAGCTCCAGAACCCGAGCTCCAGAACCCGAGCTCCAGAACCCGAGCTCCAGAACCCGAGCTCCAGAACCCGAGCTCCAGAACCCGAGCTCCAGAACCCGAGCTCCAGAACCCGAGCTCCAGAACCCGAGCTCCAGAACCCGAGCTCCAGAACCCGAGCTCCAGAACCCGAGCTCCAGAACCCGAGCTCCAGAACCCGAGCTCCAGAACCCGAGCTCCAGAACCCGAGCTCCAGAACCCGAGCTCCAGAACCCGAGCTCCAGAACCCGAGCTCCAGAACCCGAGCTCCAGAACCCGAGCTCCAGAACCCGAGCTCCAGAACCCGAGCTCCAGAACCCGAGCTCCAGAACCCGAGCTCCAGAACCCGAGCTCCAGAACCCGAGCTCCAGAACCCGAGCTCCAGAACCCGAGCTCCAGAACCCGAGCTCCAGAACCCGAGCTCCAGAACCCGAGCTCCAGAACCCGAGCTCCAGAACCCGAGCTCCAGAACCCGAGCTCCAGAACCCGAGCTCCAGAACCCGAGCTCCAGAACCCGAGCTCCAGAACCCGAGCTCCAGAACCCGAGCTCCAGAACCCGAGCTCCAGAACCCGAGCTCCAGAACCCGAGCTCCAGAACCCGAGCTCCAGAACCCGAGCTCCAGAACCCGAGCTCCAGAACCCGAGCTCCAGAACCCGAGCTCCAGAACCCGAGCTCCAGAACCCGAGCTCCAGAACCTGAGCTCCAGAACCTGAGCTCCAGAACCTGAGCTCCAGAACCTGAGCTCCAGAACCTGAGCTCCAGAACCTGAGCTCCAGAACCTGAGCTCCAGAACCTGAGCTCCAGAACCTGAGCTCCAGAACCTGAGCTCCAGAACCTGAGCTCCAGAACCTGAGCTCCAGAACCTGAGCTCCAGAACCTGAGCTCCAGAACCTGAGCTCCAGAACCTGAGCTCCAGAACCTGAGCTCCAGAACCTGAGCTCCAGAACCTGAGCTCCAGAACCTGAGCTCCAGAACCTGAGCTCCAGAACCTGAGCTCCAGAACCTGAGCTCCAGAACCTGAGCTCCAGAACCTGAGCTCCAGAACCTGAGCTCCAGAACCTGAGCTCCAGAACCTGAGCTCCAGAACCTGAGCTCCAGAACCTGAGCTCCAGAACCTGAGCTCCAGAACCTGAGCTCCAGAACCTGAGCTCCAGAACCTGAGCTCCAGAACCTGAGCTCCAGAACCTGAGCTCCAGAACCTGAGCTCCAGAACCTGAGCTCCAGAACCTGAGCTCCAGAACCTGAGCTCCAGAACCTGAGCTCCAGAACCTGAGCTCCAGAACCTGAGCTCCAGAACCTGAGCTCCAGAACCTGAGCTCCAGAACCTGAGCTCCAGAACCTGAGCTCCAGAACCTGAGCTCCAGAACCTGAGCTCCAGAACCTGAGCTCCAGAACCTGAGCTCCAGAACCTGAGCTCCAGAACCTGAGCTCCAGAACCTGAGCTCCAGAACCTGAGCTCCAGAACCTGAGCTCCAGAACCTGAGCTCCAGAACCTGAGCTCCAGAACCTGAGCTCCAGAACCTGAGCTCCAGAACCTGAGCTCCAGAACCTGAGCTCCAGAACCTGAGCTCCAGAACCTGAGCTCCAGAACCTGAGCTCCAGAACCTGAGCTCCAGAACCTGAGCTCCAGAACCTGAGCTCCAGAACCTGAGCTCCAGAACCTGAGCTCCAGAACCTGAGCTCCAGAACCTGAGCTCCAGAACCTGAGCTCCAGAACCTGAGCTCCAGAACCTGAGCTCCAGAACCTGAGCTCCAGAACCTGAGCTCCAGAACCTGAGCTCCAGAACCTGAGCTCCAGAACCTGAGCTCCAGAACCTGAGCTCCAGAACCTGAGCTCCAGAACCTGAGCTCCAGAACCTGAGCTCCAGAACCTGAGCTCCAGAACCTGAGCTCCAGAACCTGAGCTCCAGAACCTGAGCTCCAGAACCTGAGCTCCAGAACCTGAGCTCCAGAACCTGAGCTCCAGAACCTGAGCTCCAGAACCTGAGCTCCAGAACCTGAGCTCCAGAACCTGAGCTCCAGAACCTGAGCTCCAGAACCTGAGCTCCAGAACCTGAGCTCCAGAACCTGAGCTCCAGAACCTGAGCTCCAGAACCTGAGCTCCAGAACCTGAGCTCCAGAACCTGAGCTCCAGAACCTGAGCTCCAGAACCTGAGCTCCAGAACCTGAGCTCCAGAACCTGAGCTCCAGAACCTGAGCTCCAGAACCTGAGCTCCAGAACCTGAGCTCCAGAACCTGAGCTCCAGAACCTGAGCTCCAGAACCTGAGCTCCAGAACCTGAGCTCCAGAACCTGAGCTCCAGAACCTGAGCTCCAGAACCTGAGCTCCAGAACCTGAGCTCCAGAACCTGAGCTCCAGAACCTGAGCTCCAGAACCTGAGCTCCAGAACCTGAGCTCCAGAACCTGAGCTCCAGAACCTGAGCTCCAGAACCTGAGCTCCAGAACCTGAGCTCCAGAACCTGAGCTCCAGAACCTGAGCTCCAGAACCTGAGCTCCAGAACCTGAGCTCCAGAACCTGAGCTCCAGAACCTGAGCTCCAGAACCTGAGCTCCAGAACCTGAGCTCCAGAACCTGAGCTCCAGAACCTGAGCTCCAGAACCTGAGCTCCAGAACCTGAGCTCCAGAACCTGAGCTCCAGAACCTGAGCTCCAGAACCTGAGCTCCAGAACCTGAGCTCCAGAACCTGAGCTCCAGAACCTGAGCTCCAGAACCTGAGCTCCAGAACCTGAGCTCCAGAACCTGAGCTCCAGAACCTGAGCTCCAGAACCTGAGCTCCAGAACCTGAGCTCCAGAACCTGAGCTCCAGAACCTGAGCTCCAGAACCTGAGCTCCAGAACCTGAGCTCCAGAACCTGAGCTCCAGAACCTGAGCTCCAGAACCTGAGCTCCAGAACCTGAGCTCCAGAACCTGAGCTCCAGAACCTGAGCTCCAGAACCTGAGCTCCAGAACCTGAGCTCCAGAACCTGAGCTCCAGAACCTGAGCTCCATTTTTGTTGTGTGCGTGTGCGTGCGCATGGCACAGCAGGTGCAGGAGGACACTCCGTCCTGCTTTGCTGTTTGCCACCAGGCACTTTCCAGGATGCCCACACCACCCACCTATTCCACGACATGCAGGCCCATCCCACCACATCACATCACCACAGCAAACCTAAACACACCAAAGCAAACTTAAGCACACCTAAGCGAACCTTGGCACACCAAAGAACAGATAAGCAAAGCAAAGCAGAGCAGTGGTCCATTTTGAGGTCTTGGTTGTCCAGCAGCAAGCGGCAGCCCACATGTCCTCTTCATTGCCCTGCAGTTCAGCATAGAAGAGCCACTCACAAGGAGATGCTGCCAACTGGACACCAACTGGACATGGAAGGGAAGAAGAAAGAAAAAGAGGAGGAGCCACTTAGAAGCTGCAGAAGTGAAAGATGATCAGACGGCAGAGATCAGTTGTGTGTTGTATTCATGTCAGATTGCCATTGCAAGGCGAGTGCTAAGTGAGAAATGTGCGATAACAAGGCCAGCAACTCCCCTTAGCAGAATCTCCCATCACACGTACATGCTGCATGCTGTTGCTGTTGCTGCCACTGCTTCCCCCACGGATGCTGCCAGAGATAGCAATGGGACATGGAGAGGGAAGGAAAGCAAGTTTGCAACAACAACAAGATACAAGGACGTGGATGAAGGGAGAGGTGGGGAGGCAAGAGGACCATAATTCCAAGATACAGAAAGATGGGAGGGAGGGCTGAGGAGAAGGATGACAGGAAACAAGGTACTGGAGTCCAGGCAAGAACGCAAGCGATGTTGGAATGCAAGCATGGAGAAAGAACTTGGAAACGTAGTATAGAGTGTAGTTACCCCTCCATTGCTCCAGCTGCAACCACTGCAGTGGCCGTTGATGCAGCATCTACTGGTGCCACCACCACCACTGCTGCTGCTTTTGCTTGCCGTTGCTGCTGCTGCAACTGCAAGTGCTGCTGTCCATGCTGCTGGTGCAGGACAATAGGTGCTGCGGTACGGGTGATGGAAGAGAGGAGAGCAGAGAGGAAGAGACGGCAGAGAGGAGGGCATGAGAGCCGAGCAGAGGGGCATGAACATCTGGCAACTGGGTAGCAGAGACATATGGCGGATTTGCATATAAAAAGCGAGTGGATGAGAGGCTGAGTTTATATAGCAGATGGCAGCTAGAAAGGGGACAGAGAATGCCTTCGCCATGCTGCTGCATGCTCACTCCTAGTTTCCTCTTGCCTTGGAGAAGCAAGCAACCGATGTTGTCCCCATCCCCGACGCACAGGCAAATGCTCAAAGCACAACGCACTCCACGGCTCGTAGCCTGAGAGACACACTCACATGCACGCATACGCACACGCCCTCCTCAACCCAACCATCCCATCCTCTCCTTCTCCCACATCCCCCCCCCTTCCCCCCCCCCCCCTCTCCTTTCCACCCCCTCCCTCCCTCCCCTCTCTCCTTTCCACCCCCTACCCTCCCCCCCCCCCCCCCCCCCCCCCCCCTTCTCTCCTTTCCACCCCCTCCCCCCCCCCCCCGCGCCTCACAATCATGGGGAGAGAAAACACACACACAGAAGCGGCACAACAAAGGAGGGTTAGGAGCAACAGAAGAGGGGGCGAGTGGCAGAAACAAGAGCTAAAGAAGACACGACTCTTGCCTCTGCGCGGCGACTCACTTCACGGCCCCCCTGCAAGCACCCCCTGGCACGTACCCGTCCGTTGCTCTCCCACTCCCGCACCACGAGCAATCCGCCACACTCCAGGGCTTGAAGGCTGAGAGGCACACTCACAGGCATGCACACGCACACGCACACATGCACACCCCCACCCCCTTCCGCCTTCCCCCCACACGCACATGCACAGTCCCCATCCACTCGCTGCCATTCCCGTCTTGCACACACACATGGGGAGAGAGACACACACACACATGGGGAGAGAGAGACACACACACACACAGAAGAAGGTTAGAAGCAGCAGGTGGCGAGTGGTGGACCTGCAAGCAACAGACACAACTCTTGCCTCTGCGCGGCGACATCCTATGACAGTTCACGGGCCCCCTGCAAGCACCCCCTGGCACGTACCACGCTCCTCCGTCTGCCGTTTTGCCACTCGGCTGTTTCGCCTCCTGCACCACGCCTGTGTGCTGCTCCAGGCGTTGCTGCTGCGCCAAGCCTTCGCCCCAAGCAGCGCCCTGCTACTGCCCTTGCTCCAGGTTTCTCGTAGTCTGCTGGTGTTGCGGCTGCAGTTGTTGCTCTCGTTGCGTTGCTGAAGAGAAGAGGACAGGACAGGAGAGAGGAGAGGTTAGGGAGCTTAGAAGAGTGGCATGAAAATGTGGCAGCACAGCAGCAAAGACTCTGGAAACCGTGGAAAAAAAGTAGACAAGACGGAACGAAACTCGGAAAGCAGGAAGACGGTGAATAGAGGAGTAGTAAACTGCTTGATCTGGTCTGCTTGACTTACAAGTCTTTGTGAGCTTGCTGCGGCTGCTGCAGCCATTGCCTCCTTGCGTGCTGGAGGTGAGAGGAGAAGGGATGACAAGGAAGAGGAAGAGAGGCGTGAGGATGTGAAAGAGCAGATGCTAGCTGGAGAAGGGACTACGACAAAAAGCATCGCACGGTGCATTCGCCCTGCTGCTGCATCTTCACTCCAAGTTACCTCTTGTCTTGGAAGAGATAGAATCTTGTTTTCCCCACCGGAGGGCAGGCAGGTTCACAAAGAGCAACCCACCACACTCCGGAGCTAGAAGGCTGAAAGGGACACTCACAGGCACGCACAAACGCACTCGCACACATGCACGCCCCCACCCCCCTTCCCCTCTTCCGCCCGCACACCCATGCACAGTCCCCGTCCACTCGCTGCCATTCCCGTCCGTCTCGCAGGACGTGAGGAAGACACACGCACGGGGAGAGAGAAACACACACACACACACACACACACACACACACACACACACACACACACACACACACACACAAGCGGCACAACAAGGGAGGGTTAGGGGCAGCAGGAGAGGAGGCGAGTGGCAAAGACAAGAACAAGACACGACTCTTGCCTCTGCGCGGCGACTCACTCTCAATTCACGGCCCCCCTGCAAGCACCCCCTGGCACGTACCACTCCTGCACCATGCATTCACTTCAGGCGTGCTGCTCCAGATTGCCCCCCTTTCTCCCCTTTCTCCTCGCAGTACGGTTGTCTCTCGTGCATGCCAACAACGGCAGCCGTGTCGATTCACCGACCACTCGCTGCCATTCCCGTCCGTCTCGCAGGCCATGAGGCACACACACGCACGCACGGGGGGAGGGACACAAACAGACACAGAGGCGGTGCAACAAGTGATGGTCAGAAGCAGGAGGAGGCGAGTGGCGGAAGCAAGGGCAAAAGACACGACTCTTGCCTCTGCGCGGCGACACTCTATGACTCACTCCAATGCCCACCCGCAAGCACCCCCTGGTACATACCACGCGACCGCCACTGTGTCTCTGCCTTGTGACGAGCCACTGTGCCGTTGCTGACCCTTCTCCTCGCTGCACGGTTGTCTCTCGTGCGAGCCAGCAACGAAAGCCCTTTCCCTCGTCTCACAGGAAGTAAGGCACACACACGCATGGAAAGAGAGACACGCACACAAAAACGGCGCAACAAGGGAGAGTTAGAAGCAGGAGGAAAGTATGCGAATGGTAAAGGCAAAGAAAACAGACGACTGTTGCCTCTGCGCGGCGACGCTCTATGCTACTTCAATGCCCCCCCGCAAGCACTCCCTGGCACGTACCACGCTCCGTCACTTTATGCGGGCCAGCAACGGAAGTCACGTCCTTTCGCGTCCACTCCGCGCCATTCCGGGTCCATCCCGCGCCCTTCCGCTCCGTCTCACAGGCCGTAAGGCACACACACGCACAAGGAGAGAGAAACGCACACAGAAACGGCGGAACAAGGGAGAGTTAGAAGCAGGAGGAAAGGAGGCGAATCGAAAAGACGACTGTTGCCTCTGCGCGGCGACTCCCTATGCTACTTCAATGTCCCCCCGCAAGCACCCCCTGGCACGCACCATGCTCCGTCCACCACTCTCCCACACATGTGCCCCGCCTTCGCTTAAGGCGAGCCAGCAACTGCGACGCCCTACGATACTTCAACTCCCGTCCATTCCGCGCCCACTCCGCACCATTCCGCGACCACTCCGCGCCATTCCGCGCCCACTCCGCGCCATTCCGCGTCCACGCTGTGCCATTCCCCTCCACCTCGCAGGCCGTGAGGCACACACACGCATGGGGAGAGAAGACACGCACACAGAAGCGGAGCAAAAGGAAGGGTTAGGGCAGCACGAGAGGAGGCGAGCGGCGGAGGCAAGGGCAAGCGACACGACTGTTGCCTCTGCGCGGCGACTCACTACACGTCCCCCCTGCAAGCATCCCCTGACACATACCATGTTCCGTTCGCCGTTCTGCGCCACGCTTCCCCTACTCCTCGCTGGGAAGGCCGTCTCTCGTGCGCGCCAGCAACGGCAGCCCGCCAGTTCCCCGTCCACTCGCTGCCATTCCCGTCCGTCTCGGAGGGCGTGAGGCACACGCATGGGGAGAGATGCAGCCAAAAAAAAAAAGATGCAACAAGAGTGGGTTAGAAACAGAAAGATGCTAGTGGTGGAGGAAAGGACAAGAGACACGACTGTTGCCTCTGCGCGGCGACGCCCTACGACTCACTACAATTTCCCCCTGCACGCATCCCCTGGCACGTACCATGATCCGATCGCCACTCTGCCGCTTCTGCGCCACGCTTTCACTTGAGGCGTCACGCCTGGCTGATCGGCCGTTGCTCCCATCGTGACCACCACTGCGTTGTTGCCTCTGACGCTCGTTGCCACGCCTTCGTCTCACGCAGCAATCCGAGTTTTTTGTCGCAATCCGCGTTTCTCCCCCCAATCCCTGCTTTTCCCCGCAATCCGCGTTCGTCCGCGCAATCCGCGTCAGCGTTATTTCACTCACTGCTGGTCGCAGCCCCATCGTTCGACCTCTGTTCTCCGTTCAGCTACGTCCATTCCTTGCTGCTCCCCTCCGCGTTCCGACGAGCTTCCAGATCCTTCGGAATCTTCCAAAGCAGAGATTGCTCTCGTCAGCGAAACTCGGCGAGATTAGCGAGCGAACAGTAGAGATTGGCGAAGGGCAGGGAAACTCCGAGAGTGGGTGAGGGACTCGACAAAGCGCAGCTGAACGATACGACGTGCAGCAAAGTCGGTGAATGGCAGCAGATGAGAACACGGCAGAGGAACACCGCGCGGTAGTGAAATGGCGAACGCTAGTGAACGGTAGTGAAGCTCGGCGAAAGGGGACGGCTGGATAGAATGATTCGTAGAGAATGAAAGCTACTAGCGCGTGGAACGGCTTTAAACATGATTCGTGGAACGGCTTTAAGAATGATTCGTGGAACGGCTTTAAGAATGATTCGTGGAACGGCTTTAAGAAAGGTCCAGGAAGCGGCCATCTGCACGGTGATCAGGGTGGACACGTCCTAGTCGCTCCCCTCTGCAACTAAAATCCGCTTACTGAGGTCCATCATCTAACCTGCGCCTTAAATTGCGCAGAGGAGACGCAAATGACCAGCAATTGACCATGAGCACCGCGTTCTAAGGTTGGTGGTTCATCAGGCTGCTCCGGGTTGCTACTCAACCATTCTTCCAACTCATCCTGCTCGCTCACCCATCCTGCAACTAGAAACGGCTTATTGAGGTCCATAAACTATTCTGCGTCACAGAAACGCGCAGAGGAGTCGTTAATCCCGTATGCGTTTAGAGTCGCGTAGTGTTATCCTATCCTCTGCAT